TGTGCGCTTCTGTCTGTGTGTGTGTTACTGAGTGTATGGGTGTGTGTGTGTGTTACTGAGTGTATGGGTGTGTGTGGGTGTGTGTTACTGAATGTATGGGTGTGTGTTACTGAGTGTATGGGTGTGTGTGTGTGTTTGTGTGTACTTCTGTCTGTGTGTGTGCGCTTCTGTCTGTGTGCGTCTGTCTGTGTGCTTCTGTGTGTCTGTCTCTGTGTGTCTGTCTCTGTGTGTCTGTCTCTGTGTGTCTGTCTCTGTGTGTCTGTGTCTGTGTCTCTGTCTGTGTGTCTGTGTCTGTGTGTCTGTGTAGGCGGGCAGCTGAACAGCGCAGACGTGTGGCGCTTCATGCCTCAGCTCAATCAATGGGTTCGTGTGCGGGGGCTCAGCCGTGGCCGCTGGAGGCATAAGATGATGTCCATGTGTGGAAAGGTGAGTGGACCTGAGACGGCCTTCAGTCAGATGGGTGTGAGTGTGTGTGCTGACGTGTGTGTGTGTGTGTGTGTGTGTGTGCAGCTGTACGTGGTCGGCGGTTATAACGGCCGCGAGCGTCTGTCCAGCGTGGAGCGCTACAGTCCGCATGAGAACAGCTGGACGAGTGTTTCGGACCTGCTGCTGGCGGTCAGTTCTGCGGCTCTGAGCAGCTGCTGCGGGAGACTCTACGTCATCGGAGGAGCCGTGAGCGAACACAACAACACTGACCGGGTGAGAGCCGAAGAGCCTAACTGTCTCCAATGCAGAACAAATACACATAAATAACTAAACGATAAAATTACACTTTTTTCTAGATCTTCCATGGAACAGCACATTTATTTAATGATTGTCAATTTGCTTGTGCTTCTTGGGAGGACTTGCATTACTGATTATTTTCGAAATTTGACAAGTTCTGTGAATTGAAAACAGGAAAATGTGATAAGATTTCTTTTGTCTCCCAAAAACTTTTTTCTCTCAAATGAAAACAAATTTTCTTTCTTCAAAAACTTTCTCTTCAAAAAAATTTTTTTCTCTCCCAAAGACTCCAAAACAAACAAAAATTTATAAATTAATTAAACATTTTTCTCTCCAAAAAAGCCCCTTTTTCTCTCTCGTGAAATACATTTTTTCTCAAATAAAAACAAATTTTCTTTCTTCAAAAACCTTTTCTGTATAAAAAAAAAAAAAATTATCTCCCAAAGACTCCAAAACAAACAAAAAAAGAAACATTTTCTGTCTTCAGAAAAGTTTTCTTCAAAAAAAAAAACTCCAAAAAATATTTTTCTCTCCCAAACAAAACATTTTTCTCTTCAAAACCTTTTTCTCTCTCCTATTTTTTTCCTTGAGAGGCAACACAAGAGAAAAACTACTTAAATATGAAGTATGTAATTTATTATTAAAGTATTTTAAACATGGAGTTGTTAAGAGTCCAGGTTTACTGAGTGTTTGATGTTCATCACGTGACCGCATGATCCGGTGTGTCGCAGGTCCAGTGTTACGACCCGGTGAGCGACAGCTGGTCGTTTGTGTCGTCCTGTCCCTTCTCTCAGCGCTCCATCAGCGCCGTGACGCTCAACGGCTCCATCTACGTGACCGGAGGTCTGCTGGACCACATCTACTGCTACACGCCCTGCACAGACTCCTGGAGCCGAGCCGCGGCGCTGCCCGTCAGACTGGTGCGACACAGCCTCAGCATTCACAGCATAAGTCCGTCATTACCACACAAGCGCTGACCCGTGTGTGTGTGTGTTTCAGGAGGGCTGCGGGCTGGCCGCGTGTGACGGGAAGCTGTATGTGGTCGGCGGGCGTGATGAACACTCGGTTGCGGTGGATCAGATCTGGGCGTTCGACCCAGTGAGCGGTAAAGTGACGGAGGAGAAGCCGCTGACCCGCTGCCTGAGTTATCACGGCTGTCTGACCGTCCTGCAGCGGCTCTGACCCAAACACACGCAAACTCAGCTCAGAATGTGTGAGACTCACGATTCATTCAACCAGTGTGTTTATGATTATGATATGACAACAAATACCTATGGAAAACTGTTTTCAAAATTATGATATAAACTTGCAATTCTGAGTAAAAAAGTCAGAATTGGAACATATATCTCAATTCTGAGTTTATACCTCATAATTCTGAGTTTATATCTCTCAGTCCTGACTTTTTTCCCCCTGCAATTCTGACTATTTTTCTTGCAATTCAGTTTATCTCATAATTGATTTTATATCTCATAATTCCGAGTTTATATCTTGCAATTGTGACCATTTTGTTTTTGCCTCAGAATTTTAAAAAAAGGTTATTGCAACTTCTAATCTCACAATTCAAAATTTATATCTCACAGTTAAATCTCAGAATTGTAAGGGAATACGTCTGAATTGTGAGATAAAAAGTTGCAATTACTTTTATTATCCCATGAAGGAAGCGTGCTTCCATAAAGACCAGTTTGCAACATCAAGCATCATAAATGGACTTTGTAAAACGAAAATAACGAATGACACTAGAAGCCTCGCACACGGTTAAAAATGACTGAACCTGTTCTTACATTAAAACTAAGGTGGATAAGTGCGGTTTTTAGCTGAACTAGTTAAAGCAGATCAGTTTCTCACATTCCACATGACTGACAAACCGGAAAAACTCCTGCGTGATTAAAGACTACTGCAGAAGCTGTATTGCCTCTCATCTGTGTTTGTGGAAACATTAGCGTTCTATAATACACACTGATTTATTTTCTAGTTATGGACTTGAACTGCTGGAAATCCCAATGTGAATCTGAATCATAGACTGTGAACATGTTTTAACCACTTTGTATATATGATGTTATACACATTTAAATAAAGACTGCATCATTTTATGTTGCTTGAGTTTTTAATGTCTCGAACTGCTTTATAACAACAATATACTGCACAAATAAAAGATGTTGCATGAACTGAGACAAGAGTTTAAAATCAATATCCTGACGATGCTTAATGTATGCAGTTTTAACTGAAACTATTTTCCATGAACTTAGAAAAAAATCTCTGTTTTGATCAAAATTAGTTGAGCGACTAAATATCTAATCTATATTAGCTCTGATATTAGCATAACATCACACTGTCAGTATGTCAACGATGGTTTTGATCCTGTAATTCAACGTTTGTGACTTCATGAAAGCTAATTTTCATAAAAATGTTAAAATAATTTAAAATAAAAAGAAAACAATTTTTTTTTACTTTAGTATTTTGTCAACTTTTTTTTATTTGTTTATGACTATTAATCAGAGAACTGTGAACATGAATGTGTTAAATTAATGAAACGGTAAAATTTTTCCTAAAAAAATTTAAAATAAAACATTATTTAAATAAAATATTTTAATGTTTAATTTTGTTTTTTTGTATTTTATATGTATTTTTATAATTATTTTTTGTCCTGTGACTATTAATCAGAGAACCATGAACATGTGATTGTTCATAAACCGGTTGACAAATATTTTTTGGGAATTTATAGGTTAGATTTTATACAAAGTCTGCTATGAATGATGAGCTTGTGTCCAGTCAGACAGATCCACGAACAGACGGTTTCCAGAGAAAGACTAAGACGACACATTAAACACGTTTCAAATTCTTCCACTGAACTTCCACTGAAATAAACAGCACTGAAGGTCCAGTAGAATGCAGTACGGCATGTTTCAATGTGTCAGATTACAGATGTATCAGTAGATCTTCTTCTGAGGAAGGACATTGTAGCGGCTGTAATGTGGGCGAAGAGCTTCACGTCGCTGCGTTTGTTTGCAGTCTCAATAAATCAAGTCCACTTCAGACCAACTCTAGATAACATTCTTCACTGACACGAAATCCTTTCAGCCACTGAGAGCAAATGTTTGTCATATTTGAGTTTCGTGTTTCTTTAAAAGCTCAAGTATCAAGAGATTCTGTGTAAAGCACAGCTGATATGGAAAGATGAAGAGCAGATGGTCATTCAAAATGGAAATAAAAACAAACCTGCTTTCATTCTGAATTTGGATTTCAGCCAAATTCAGCTGAAGAGTTTATTTCCTAACGAGTCGGGAGTAATTGTGCTGATTATTTCCAGTAACCCATTACTATGGAAGCTTGTTTCCACCACGGAATAAAAAAATTGAAAGATAATTGTGACTTTTTAATCTCGCAATTCTGATGAAAAAAGTCGGAATTGTGAGAGAAAAAGTCACAATTATCTTTTATTTTATCTTTTATTCCGTGGTGGATTTGCGAGTTATAAAGTGAGAATTGCAAAATTCTTTTTCGCAATTGTAAGTTTAGCTTATATCTCGCGACTTTTTTAGATCTCACAATTCTGCCTTTTTTTCTTGCAAATTAAATTTATATCTTGCTATTCAAACTTTTTTTTATCTCACAACTGACCTCACAATTGTAATTTCATATCTCGCCATTTTTACTTTTTTTCTCACAATTGTGGGTTTATATCTCAAATCTCGCAATTCTAACTTTTTCTTGCAAGTGTAAGTTTATATCTCGCAATTCTGACTTTTATATATCTTGCAATTCTTTTTTTCTTGTAATTGCGAGTTTATATCTTGCAATTCAAACTTATTTTATCTCACAATTATTACCTTTTCCTCACAATTGTAAGTTCATATCTCACAATCTTTTTATATCTCGCAATCACAAGTATATATCACAATTATATCTCGCAATTCTGACTTTTTTTTCTTGTAATAGCAAGTATATATCTCGCAATTATAACTTTTTTATCTCTCACAGTTCTGACTTTTTTTCTCACAATTGTGGGTTTATATCTCAAAATTATAACTTTTTTATATCTCGCAATTATAACTTTGTTCTCGCAATCGTATGTTTATATCTCGCAATTCTAGTTTTTTATAATGTAGACGCGCTGAAAGGAAATGGAAGAAGGATAAGTTGCAAATTTATTATATTATGCTGAGGGAATTCTTTGACTAAATTTCAGGAAGCAGCAAAAATGGCTAGAGCAAATTATTTTTCTTTAATTATTGTAAAATATTCCCACCAGCCTTGTGTGCTTTTTAATACTATCATCTCCATTTTAGAGCCTTTAGTCACGGTTTGTCTTGAGTCTTCGGTTGCAAATTGTGAGAGATTTTAAAAGTTTTTTATTGATAAAATCGTTGGTATTCGCTCTGCAATTGCACCAATGAAGTTAGATCTTGGAGTTGTTGCTGCTCCCTTAGGCTCCTTTCGAGCCTTAAAGATGATGTCGCTTTTGGAAATCACTGAGATCATGGGTGTGTTAAAGGTCACCTCATCAACAAATGATGTGATCCCAACCAGTCTCTTTATAGAAGTTTTTGATAGTATTGGTTCATACATTTTGTTAATCGTAAACAAAAGTCTGGCAGAGGGTTGTGTGCCACCGAGTTTGAAACATGCGGAAGTGGAGCTCTTGTTAAAGAAACCTGGCCTAGATCCATTTATACTTCAAAATTTTCGTCCAATTTCTAAACTTCCTTTTATTGCAAAAATCCTAGAAAAGGTTGTTTCGTCAGCTCTCTTCTCTTTTTTAGCAGAGATTGACATAATGGATAAAGACAAAATTTCAGGGTTCAGAACTGGTCATAGTACTGTATCTGCCCTTATTAGGGTATTAAATTATATTTTATTGGACGTTGACAATGGAAATTGTGTCGGTCTTGTTTTGTTAGACACACTGGATCATACCATTTTGTTGGAGCATCTTGAGCGGTGTGTTGGGGTAAGTGGGGTGGCTTTACATTGGTTCCATTCTTACCTGGAGGGTAGAACTTTCACTGTAAAGATTGGGAATAATTGTTCTTCTGCTGCTCCTGTAAGTTATGGGGTACCTCAGGGCTCTATTTTAGGGCCGTTGCTTTTTTCTCTATACATGATTCCACTGGGCTCTATATTTAATAAATTTGGCATTTCGTATCATAGTTATGCTGATGACACTCAGTTGTACCTGCCTTTTAAAGCAGGAAATAATGCAGCTGAAAATTCCTTGTTGAATTGCCTCGAGGAGGTAAAATGTTGGATGAACTCTAATATTTTAATGGTAAATGATAAAAAGACTGAAATTGTGCTTTTTTGGGGAAAAAGCACATTGTTTACTCCAAAACCGAGTCTGGGCCAGTTTTCATCCAGTGTAAAAAGTCATGCAACTAACTTAATAATTTTTGATTCTGAGCTCAAATTCTATCATCAAATAAACATAGTATTAAAAAATAGTTTCTTTCATTTGAGAAGGATTGCAAAATGGAAGTCAGTTTTATCAAAGAATGATCTTGAAAAAGTTATGCATGCTTTTGTACTTTCACGCTTGGATTATTGTAATGCGTTATATGCAGGGGTTTGTCAGTCGTACCTGTCGAGGTTACAATTGTTTAAAAATGCTGCGGCCAGACTGCTGACAAATACTAAAAAAAAAAGAGACCATATAACTCCAAATCTGCCCTCTCTACACTGGCTACCAGTTAAACAACCAATTGTCTTGAAAATTCTGTTATTCGTTTTTAAAGCCATCAATGGCTTGGCCCCAGAGTACATCAAGGATCTGTTAGTTATTCAATCCTCCTCAAGATCGTTAAGATCTAACTCGCAGATTATGCTCAAGGTTCCACGCACACGTTATAAGTGTAGAGATGATTGAGCATTTTCAATTGTGGCCCCTAGACTACGGAATGATCTTCCTTTCTCTGTGCGATCTTCGATCTCTCTGCAGATGTTCAAATCACGTCTTAAGACCCATTTGTATTCACAGGCGTTTGAGGTGTAATTTTACAGGTATTTAAGTATTTTAATTAATTGCTATTATTGTTTTTGATTTTCTTGTACAGCACTTTGGTATACTTTCATGGTTTTTAAGGTGCTTTATAAATAAATGATTGATTGATTTTATATCACAAATCTGAATTTTTTCTTATATCTCGCAATTCTAACTGTCTCACAATTCATACTTTTTTCTCGCAATCAGGAGTTATATCTCGCAATTCTGACTTTTTCTCACAATAGTGAGTTTATATCTCACAGTTATGATTTTTTCTTGCATTCGCAACTTTATATCTTACAACTTCGGA